ATATCGGCGACAGAAGAGAAGAAGAAAACAAGGTGGTAAAAATGACACGGAGGTGGTGAGGGTACAGGGGAAGAGGGCAGGATCAGAGTTATTTGGAGGCAGATGAAGGCAGCAGCTGAAAGAAGATGATCCTTTTCTGCATAAATCAACTGCATTTTTCACCAGTTTACATAAAAATTACAGAAGCATCGGAAATTTTTGGCACGGGAAATCTTCATCTGACCACACCTGACCAGGCTGGCTGAGCTCACTGCCTCCAGCGCTGCTGCTATTTCAAATACTCCCCGCAGACTATTATCAGTTAGTGATATTCACAGTATTTGACGGCTTGACCTTGTTCAGCAGCATCAACGGTGATTTTTATGAGCAGGGTAGTCTGGAGTCTTGTTAAATAGCTGATGACTCTCCATGAAACACTGCAGTATTCGCTTGTAAAAGGTATGAAGTGCACATTTCCGATACGACGGGAAAATGCAATGCGTGCACAACATATTTGATTGTGGTGAGTGGGATTTGAGCTCCATAGATTACCTGTCACACACTATCGCGGTTACAAAGTTAAGACATTTTCTGCGGCATTCTTGAGAAATAACAGCAGGATTTGTCTGGAAGAACGCCCCAGATTTTGAGCTTAAGTAATGCGTTGCGAAGTTGCAGTAAAAGCAGTTTGCTCGATGTACTGGGCTTAGGCTGCATGCTTTGAATGACTCCGACATACTTGTGCTGGAGCATGGAAATAGCTTTGCTGTTAATGGATTCTAATGGTGAGTGTTTGGTTGTTTTGCTGTCTTTACAATAGTGTCTTGAGGTTTAACTCACAAATTAGAGGTTGACAGTTCAGGCATTTAACTGACAGCACCGTCATTTGTCCCTCCTTATAGGAACATTTAATCCAAAGCAAGGGTCCCCAAGCCCTGGTCTGGGGCCCTGTATTAGTCCGTCGGTCATCTGGTACCGGTCCGCAGTGTGAAAGAGTAAATAAATGTACCTCAGTTTTAATAATTTACTTCATTCAA